ATGCCCTAGCCTAGAGTAGTGTTTCTCAATCTTAGTAACTTTAAAATAGGTGGACTTCAACTTCCAGAATTCCTCAGCCATTGCTGCCTGGGGAATTCTGGGAATTGAAGTCCACAAATCTAGGCCTCGGAGGACTGGAGGAGGCCTCCCAGGCCTAGAACAGCCCACTGGAAGTGCGTGGATGCCACTTCCGGAAGTACATTCTAGGCCTCGGAGGACTGGAGGTCTCCCAGGCCTAGAATGGCCCACCGGAAGTGTATGGATGCCACTTCCGGAAGTCCATTCTAGGCCTCGGAGGCCCAGGCCTGCATTGAATAAGAGAACCGGTTGTTCAGGTATTTGAATTCCACCACTGGCTGGAACCCATCGACAGGGAACTTCTCTCTCTCCAGAATATGTGCACTGGGATATTCTGCATGTTGTATTTATATGGTGCCTGATTGTGTGTTGCTTTTAGTTGTTAATTAGGGTATTGATAGCTGGCTATTAAGTCATTGATCGCTGTTTCCTTGTGCCACTGCACTCTCAGCTCCTGATAAGCTGATGGTAAATCAGCACGCTTGTTAACTGATAAGCCCCCCCCCACCCCCGTTTCCCAGGCTTCAATAATATAACTGGCTATTTTTGTCCCTGCTCAGCCAACAATTGTTGTAACTGCAAAATTTAATGCATGTCCTTGCTCACTGCAGTGTGAGGTTGCCAATGAGTTTGGGGTCTCTTTTATGTTATATGTTCTACTTATTCACTGGTGGAACAGGTCGACTTGGAAAGTAAGGTCTCCCCTTTGCTGGGGGTTGCAGTTAAGTAGCATGTCTTTCAAGATAAATAGAAAAGCCGATGCTTGCACTGAGTAGGGCTTGGATTAGAGGATGTTTACTGTCCCTTCCATGTTCTAATAGAGAAGAATATTTGTGGCTCATGGTTGAACTGTAGTGCCCTGTTTGGTGCCCTCTGATCTTGGTTGGGTTTTTTGTTTTGCTAACGTTTCATTCCCCGACTAGGTAACATCATCAGTGTACTGATGGCATTATCTAGTTGGGAAACAAAACGTCTGCAAGGAAACCACCAAGCTCAGAAAGTGTTGTGATTCCGTGCCAGCCTGTGTTCCCAACAGCTGAGTCTGAGGAATCTGAGGAGGATGTGGAAGAGGCCTTTGAGGGGCCGTCAGGGTCAGAGGGAGGCTCTGATGAATTACAGGATTCACAGCTTGATGAAGAGCCTGGCCCCTCCAGTCGTGTTTCTGATGAAGCTCAGCTGTGTGAGGAGCATGAGTCAGATTCGGAAGGCTCACACCTGGATGTGCTAATTGATGCTCGCAGGCGTCGTCAATTAGCAAGAGAAAAACAACAACAGTCTATGCGACTACTCCAAAGTAAAAGGAGAAGGCAATGAGAGGCAACGCCCTGGGACTGCTGTATAAAAAGGGAAGGTGTGGGCGTTGCTGGTTGCTGAAGGCAACCGTTTGCAAAGTGCTTCTTGGAATCCTGGTCTGTTCGTCTTGTTTGCAACGTGTTCCTGTGGACTATTTCCTTCCTTTGGACTTGAGTTTTGCTGTTTGTGTTTTGGACTTATTGACAGGTTTGTCACTCAAATAAAAGGGATTTTGTTTTGTTTTAAAGTCTCCAGCCTATTGTATCAGCAGGGGTTTGGTCCTTGTGCCTCTAACAAAGACGGCAATAGGCTGGGATAGAACAGAAAGCACCAAAGACCCCAACTTTCCATGTTGTAATTTTATGGGAAATATTTAATATATTGTTCTCCATAGAGCTGCTGGCCTAAATTTCCTCACCTTTATTTTGTTCTCCACAGGAGATCCCTCTGGATGCTTCCGTCACCTCGTATGAACTTCAAGATCTGATTCCTTCAAGCCGGTACCAGGTCCAAGTCCAGGCAGTGAGGAGGGACACTCCAACAGCTCCCATCTCCACTTCTTTCACCACTGGTAATGACATTATAGGCTCCCTGATATGTCTTATGTTTGAGACAGACCACCTGTGATCCTTTTGGATTTCCTAAAGACCCAAATTGAATGGATCCAGTGATCATCCTTTCTTTCTTGGACAGGGCACCTGACATACCCCTTCCCTCGGGACTGCTCGGAAGAAATCCAAAATGGGCCAGGACCTTCACGAGCAACAACAATTTATCTAGGGGGCAACCGGGAACGTCCCTTGAGGGTGTTTTGTGACATGGAGACAGATGGGGGAGGCTGGATTGTGAGTATGAACAGTATGGTTGGTGATGGTGATGGTCAACCTATAGTTGCTTGAAAAGGAATCCTTGTTTCCTCCAGCCATGATTTAATAATAATAATAATAACAACAATAATAACAATAATAATAACAATAATAATAAAAGTTGGAAGGGACCTTGGAGGTCATCTAGTCCAACCCCCTGCTCAGGCAGGAAACCCTATACCAGTGGTGGCGAACCTATGGCACGCGTGCCAGAGGCGGCACTCAGAGCCCTCTCTGTGGGCACGCGCACCATGCCCCGGAGATGGCAACCGTCCCTCTTCAATCATCTGCCCACTAACTAGCTGAGGTCCATGTGGCTGGATGCATCCCAGCACCCATGTGCTCGCTGGCCTCTGTGTGCAGGGGCCGATGGTGTCAGGCAGCAGCTGCCCCGGCCCCTGCCTCGCCTTGCCCTGTGACAATGGCTCCCCTGCCCTGCCTTGCCTTGCCTTGCCTCACCCCGCAGGACGAGCCTCTGGCCCACTGCCCCACCTGCCAGAGACCCCCTGGATTTACCCCAACCCTGCCCAGCCAACACTGCTCTATACCAGTGTTGGAGCATTCACCGCTTCTGGAGGCAGGTTGTTCCACTGGTTAATTGTCCTAACTGTCAGGAAGCTTCTCCTTAGTTCCAAGTTGCTTCTCTCCTTGATTAGTTTCCATCCGTTGCTTCTTGTCCTGCCCTCAGGCGCTTTGGAACATAGCATGACTCCCTCTTCTTTGTGGCAGCCCTCTTCTTCATGCATGCTGTTTTTTTCAGCCACAGATGTTGGCAGTTGAAGAATTTTAAATGGTGGGTGGGGTCTTTAAAGCAGCATCCTTCTCCAACTTTCCAAATATGTCAGACGGGAGATCCCATCATCCATAGCCAACATGCTATTCTTAGAGAATGGTCATTTTGAGCCAATGGATATAGAAGGTGCCAGATTAGAAAAAGACTTTCTAGTGCAGAATTTTTCCAAGTTTAAGATGTGCTTGACTTCGACTTTCGGAATTCCCCAGCTAGCCCAATTCTGGGAATTGAAGTCTACAAATCTTAAAGTTGCCAAGTTGGAAAAACTTTGCTCTAGTGTTTAGACCTGCAGAAGTCATTATGAAGTTGTGGGACATGGAACCACAATAGAACCAAACTTTCTACTGATCAAATTCAGGACCGGTGAGAAGATAGTCATCTACAAAGAGCACAAATAACACACCGGAAACATGGCAAAAACTCTGCCTCTTACTCATTTGGATGCAATGTTGTGACTCACATGTGAAAAGGTCAGGCATGTATACTGATGTTAGGATTGCATGTTTCATAATCTGACATATGTAGATGTTTCCATATATCAGTGATGGCGAACCTTTTAGAGACCGAGTGCCCAAACTGCAACCCAAAACCACTTATGTATCACCGGGTGCCGGGTGGGTGTGGCCCGCTGGGTGGGCGTGGCTACAGTGGTCATGGCAGATGGGTGGGCGTGGCCAGCTTGATGTTGCTCCTGGGGAGGGATGCCTGTGGGGGCCGGGCAAGGTTGGGGAGATCCAGGGGGTCTTTGGTGGGTGGGGCGGTGGGCAGGAGGCTCGTCCTGCGGGGTGAGGTGAGGCAAGGCGAGGCAGGGCGGGGATGCCATTGTCGCAGGGCAAGGCGAGGCAGGGGCCGGGGCGGCTGCTGCCTGACACCATTGGCCCCTGCATACAGAGACCAGCGAGCGCATGGGTGCTGGGATGCATCTGGCTATATGGGAGCTCGGCGAGTTAGCGGGCGGCTGGTTGAAGAGGACAGTTGCCATCTCTGGGGCATGGCGCGCGTGCCCACAGAGAGGGCTCTGAGTGCCACCTCTGGCACGCGTGCCATAGGTTCGCCACCACTGCCATATATTGAGAAAACCTGCTCTCAAAATCGTGTGGAAGAATATCTTGGGGTTTTATTGCTTTCTGATAATCTGATTACTGTCCATTTTCTTTCCTTCCTTCCTTCTCTGTCATGGCATCCTCATTCTTCTCCTGCTCCTCTTCCTCCCCCCCCCCAGGTCTTTCAACGTCGGATGAACGGTGAGACAGATTTCTGGCGGGACTGGCAAAATTATGCTCTTGGTTTTGGCAACCTCACCCGGGAATTTTGGCTAGGTAAGTCTGTAACTTTGCCTGCCTCTCCTCATCTCTCTGTGTAGCCAGATATTACCACAATTTCAATCAATTAATCAGAATAGAGCTGAAAGGGATCTTGGAGGTCTTCTAGTCCAACCACCTGCTCAAACAGGAGATCCTATACCATTTCAGATAGATGGCTGTCCTCTCTTTTCTTAAAAACTTCCAGTGATGAAGCACCCACAACTTCTGAAGGCAAGCTGTTCCACTGGTTAATTGTCCTCACTATTAGGAAGTTTCCCCTTAATTCCAGGTTGCTTCTCTCCTTGATTAGTTTCCATCTATTGCTTCTTGTCTTGCCTTCTGGTGCTTTGGAAAATAAATTGATTCCCTCTTTTTTGTGGCAGCCTCTCAAATACTGGAATACTGCTATTATATCCCCCCTTCTTTTCTCTAGACTGGCCAAACCCAATTCCTGCAAGTGTTCTTTATATGTTTTTGTCTCCAGGCCTTTAATCATCTTCGTTGCTCTTCTTTGCACTTTTTCCAAAGTCTTAACATTTTTTTTGTATTATGCTGATCAAAACTGGATGCAGTATTCCAGGTGTGGTCTTACTAAGGCTTTCTAAAGCAATATTAATACTTCACGTGATTTTGATTCTATGCCTCTGTTTATACAACCAAGAGTTGTTTTAGCTTTTTTGGCCGCTGCCGTGCACTGCTGGCTCATGTTTAAGTGATCGTCCACTAGGACTCCAAGGTCTCTCTCACAGTTATTGTTTCTGAGTCAGGTTTTGCCTAATCTGTACTTGGACCTTTGGTTTTTCCTGCCTAAGTGTATATTAAATTTATATATCCACATTAAATTTCATGTTGTTGGAGAGGGCCCATTGTTCAAGTCCATCAAGATCTTTTTGGATCCTGAGCTTGTCTTCTGGGGTGTTGGCTATTCCTTCCAGCTTAATGTCATCCTTCCTGTCTTTTTCATCCTTCCTGTCTTTTTACAAACTGGAAACCGCGGTTGAGAGCCAACAGAAGGATAAGGGCTTGTCTCAGCTGAACCCATTTCTGGACTTCATGCTTGAAACAAGAAAAAAAAAGAAACTTTGATTCTGACAATCTTGTTACAGAAATGGCTAGCATCACTAAAATAACCGTGTGTTGTGCTCTACTGAACCAAAAAAAAGTTGAAAGTCACTGCTTTTATGTTTCTCTTTTACCTGGCACTCCTCTCTCCCTCTTTACTTTTCCTTATTCTCTCGTGATCTTTATTTCTGTTTGTATTTTATACAATAATAATCTTTAATGTTATTTTAAAAATAGAAATGATAATAAGGCTGTACTATCTTCCACTGGTTTCATAAGGATTCCACTTGTAAGTTTCATCTCTTTTGAAGGACTCCTTCTTTAACCTCCTTCAGAAGATCGACTATGTGCCATCAGATTGTTCCTTGGTGACCACATGGATTGATTCTCTCCATGACGATGTGTCCCCCAACCTGGGGACTCTTCCCACGGGGCCTTCATCACTACTGTAACTGAATCTGTCCTTCAGAAGACTTATCCTCCCTTTTCCTCTATTTTGGATTCCAGGAAATGACGCTCTGCACCAGCTGACATCTTCAGGGGATTACGAGCTACGCGTGGATCTCCGTGCCAGGGATGAGTCGGTCTACGCCACCTATCAGAGCTTCCGTGTGGACCCACCTGCTGACTATTACCGCCTGCATCTGGGCAGTTACCATGGCACAGCGGGTGAGCAAAGCCCTGGGACTGTGATTGAGTAGGGCAGGGCAGTCTGAAAAGCAGTGTCTCCTGTGCTGAAACCAGCAGGAAAATGAAGCAGCTTAAGAAATTGCTTTCTATATTCTGTTCTGCGTTACCGGTCTACCCTCCCCAGCTAATCATGTTGTTTCTAGTTGTTTCGCATCCGTCTGTATATTCGTAGGTTCGGGAATCATCGCCTCTCCTGTTGTTGCTCTCTTTGCCCGCTTTGGGCGTGACTAGATACGCGTTGCTGTAAGCTGGTCCCCCAGTGTTTCCTGTCCTATGGCCGTCCCCCCCCCTGTTGTGTATGTGGCACCCCTCCTCCCATCATTGGTTCCTGCGTGGATCGCGCTGGGGATTTCTCCCCTTCACTGGTCGTAGTTCTTTGCTGTTGCATGAGCCCGCGGTTCTGATCTTGTGTAGGCTGCGCCCGTTGCACTCGTTGTGAGTTGTTGTGCTGCTGCTCCCACTTCCTTAGTGCCTGATAAGCAGGCAGTAACTCTATGTGGCGATTAATTGAGTGCTCATCCGATAGCCAAGCCTCCTTCAGCAACCGGCCAACCCTGGTGACATCCTGGGTGATTTAGGTCTCTATTTAGTTCTGAGATTTGAACCTGGGCCGCTTGCACGTTAGGCAGCTGTATTAACCTCCAGGCCACAGGTTCTCCTCACTTCTGTCAGCTGTACCAGGAAGGATACATATTAAGTGTTTTTTACGGTGAAACCGGTCTAATAGAACACCTGGTCTGCCCAAATATTACTTCCCGGAAAACAATAGCTAAATAGCTCGAAATAGCTATACTAGTCTCCCTTTAACTCTTTGTTGGCAAAATCTAAATAGTTTATCGCAGTAGCGACTTTAGCCTGTAAACGTTCCTAGATTGGGGATGAAAGGCAAAAGTAATATTTGGGCAGACCAGGTGATCTATTCTAACACCATATATGTGGTGTTAGAAATATGGGAAGGACTAGAATCCTCAGGCGTGGGTTTTAAGAGTGGGGGATGATGGGAACACCATGTCTTGATTTGAGTTACCACCATTACGAAGAGCAAAGCCTGAGTTTGGAGATGGGTTCTACATAAGTTCTGACCTTTTTTTCCCTAAAGGCCACTGGCCAAGCACCCAAGATGTGATCATGTGACTTAGGGGGTTGCAGCCATTGTTACTCCAAAAATGGGTTGTAAGTAGCTCCGAGGAGGCCCATCGTAACTTTGATCAGTCGTAAATCAAGGACTACCTGGAGCAGAAGGGATTCACATGCCCAGGGAAGAAGAACAGAACAGAACAGAACAGAACAGAGCTGGAAGCGACCTTGGAGATCTTCTAGTCCAGCCCCCGCTTAAGCAGAAGAACCTATACCAGGGGTAGGCAACCTTGGCTCTTTTATGACTTGTGGACTTCAACTCCCAGAATTCCTGAGCCAGCCATGCTGGCTCAGGAATTCTGGGAGTTGAAGTCCACGAGTCATAAAAGAGCCAAGGATGCCTACCCCTGACCTATTCCATTTCAGACAAGTGACTGTCTAACCTCTTCTTAAAAACCTCCAGTGATGGAGCGCCCACGATTTTTGGAGGCAAGCTGTTCCACTGGTTAATTGTCCTCATTGTTAGGAAGTTTTTCCTTAATTCCAGGTTGCTTCTCTCTTTGATCAGTTTCCAACCACTGTTTCTTGTCCTGCCCTCTGGTGCTTTGGAGAATAACCTCACCCCCTCGTCTTCGTGGCAGCCCCTCAAATACTTGAGACTCATTTGTGGGCAGCCAAAAATTCAGGAGGCTGTTTTTCACTCTCACTTTCCCATTTTCCTCCCGCCCAGGTGATTCCTTGAGCTACCACTCAGGGAGCGTTTTCTCCACTCGGGACCGGGACCCGAATCGGGTCATCATCCCCTGTGCCATCTCTTACCGTGGGGCATGGTGGTATCGCAACTGCCACTACACCAACCTCAATGGGCTCTACGCTAACAACCGTGATCACCAGGTAATTGGTGGGCAGGTGGGATGGAGAAAAAAGACCGCTGTACTTTTTTGGGGGGGGGAGAGAACAAATGATGTAACGGTATGTGGGAAAGACCTTGGAAGACTGAGCCAAGGAAGCCCTCAGGAAAAGTTGTAAAATGGGGCAAAATTCTCTTAAATGTTTCCCTTAGCCACAGACAGGGGGCTCAATTGCGGTCGTAAGTTGAGGACTCCCCGTATAACACTTCCATCTCAGTTTCTCTTCCTCCAAGTTCATTGATCTTTTTTTTTTGCGTGAGGGGAGGGGGAAATCTAGATTTTACAGATTTAGCTTTGTGTTTCTCACATATCCCCCCTCCTCTCTCTCTCTCTCTCTCTCTCTCTCTCTCTCTCTCTCCTCCAATTCCAGGGTGTCAACTGGTTTAACTGGAAAGGATTCGAGTTTTCCATTCCTTTCACTGAGATGAAACTGCGGCCTAGCAGCTTCCGCCCGCTGCAGCGGTCGTGAGTGGGACGCAGGATGGACTAAGGGAGAAAGCCGCGGAGGGAAAGCAGCGACGACAGCAGAAAATCCCAGCAACGACCCCTTTGCAACAGGATACCTCACATCTGGCCTCTGTTCTGCTTCTCTGGCCCATCCTGAGGGGAAAAAAAAAGGAATGCATCGAAACCAAGGGGGGAAAAAAAGACCTTTGGAGACTTGAGAAGACCCACCTCAGTCAAAAGGAAGAGAGAGCTCAGAAACAGAGTCTGAGAGGAAAAAAGCAATTAATCTGACTACAGGCAGTCCCCCCCTACTTATGGCCACAGCTGGAACCAGAATCTTTTTATTACTAAGCAAGGTGATTGTTAAGTGGGTCGCAGCCAGTTTTACGACCTTTTTTTTGGGCCATGTTTGTGAAGTGAACGAGCGCAGCCGCAAACCGAATCGTGCAGTCGTTAAGCAAATCTGACTCGCCCCGTTGGCTTCGCTTGTGGGAAGGCCGCAAACGGTGATCACAGGAGCTTGGCCCGCTGCGACCGTCATAAATAACATGCCGGTCATGCCAAGCTGCCGAATTTCGATCCCATGACTGTGGCACGAGAACTGGTTGTAAATCACTTTTTGGGGGGCCTCGTAACTTTTTGAATGGTCATTAAATGAATGGTTGTAATTGGAGGAGCACCTGTGATTTCTTTTTTTTTAACTTTTTTTTAAGGAGAGCTTTCAAGAGAGCAAAGAAATTCAGGTTGGCTGGCAAAATTTCAGCCACCAAGACCCGGTGTCCTTCCCTTCCCTTGGTTCCTGGGTCTGGGACTCCATTAGTTTGCAGCAGGCAAGGCTTGTTTCTAACCCAAAGTTTCTCCTCCTTGACTCCTTTTGCTCCCCACCAGCTAAAAACTTCAGACCTTCCCTCTCTGGACTTCGTCTCAATTCAGACCCTATTTTCTTCCTCCCGCCAATGCTATTCAAAATGGAGTTAAACTACTTAAACATAAGTAGTTGGTGACCGCAGCTTAACATAAAAGCACTTTTAACGTGTGTTTGGTTTTTAATTCCTTGGGGAAGCCTTGGGAAGTCGAGCTACAGCCTGTTCTCTCCCCCGTGAGCTTTTTGTTTCTTGCTCCACGGGCTTTTCCATCTAAAGCAGGGGTGTCAAACTCGCGACGTCACGTGATGTCGTGCAATGTATCGGGCCGGTTTTGCCATTGCTGGCAATGGGGTGGGCGTGGCTTCAGTATGATGAAACCGGCCTGTGGGCCGGCAGTTTGACACCCCTGGTCTAAAGGCAACTGATCACTGAAAGGCAGAGGAACCAAAACTGAGAAAGATTGCAGAGTGGGAAAAGAACTGAAGGAAATTGGAAAGACCTCAGATTCATTCTTGTCACAATAATAATAATAACAATAATAATACCCTGAAAAATCAGTCGACCTGTTTCTTAATTTTGTAAACTTCCTCTCTTTTTCTTCTATGAGGTTTCGGGGACCAAATAAGCACTTAGACTTATTTTCCGCTTCATACTGCTTTAAAGCCCTCTCTAAGTGGTTCACAGAGTCAGTGTCATGTGTCTGATTAACGAAACACTTAAAAGGACTTTCAGGCATATTTTTTCCTAAAAGCATTTATTAAGGTTACAGAGACGTCAGTACAGCATGGTGGAAATGCTTAGGTCTGGCTTCTCTTCCGTTACGCATATACATTCCAAGCATTTCCCACTCCCTTATTTTGGGGTCATGGTTCACATCTTCCAATCAACTTGGAAGATGTGATTTACTTCCGGTTTCTTTCTCCCGGGCTATCCTTATGCTCCTCCCTCTTTCACAGTTGCTGGTTTAACTATATAAATACCAGACAGTTCTGCATATTGTCAAAGCAAGAATATACAGTATTTGCAGCGTTGACAGTCAGCATATTCTCCCCAACACTCTGGGTCCTTGTTTTACCGACCTCAGAAGGATGAAAGGCTGAGTCCCCCTTGAGCTGGTGAGAATCGAATTCCTGGCAGTGAGCAATGAATTAGCCTGCAATATTGCATTCTAACAACTGGGCCACCAATGCTCTTAAATCAGGATGAATTCTTACTTAAAAACTGAGCTTCTGTTTACATAAACGTTTTCAAGAAATTCCGGTACATAGAAGTCTAGCATTTTACAGATGGCAAGGCCAAATTCTTTCTTCTTTGCTCTAAACTTTCTCTAAGGTAGAGGATTTGTTTAAAAAGTCTGGTCCAAATCGAAGTCGACTCTTTCAGAAAAAAAAAAGAAATGTCCTGCCTTTTAGCAGTACATAAAACCTTTTGATGGGGCACCTTATAGGGAATAATTGTATTACGAGCTTTAAAATTGTAAGGTGCTTGCTATCTCAGTGGTTCTTAAACTGAGGATAGTTACTCCAAAGCTGATATTCCTGGGGTTAATGGAGCAACTTGTAAATACTGTTTGAGAGTTGAGGATCCAGTTTGGAATTGCTACTGCTGAAACACAAGAGTCAGGTTTTTTTGGGAGGAATAATGACATTATTCAAGATTAGGAAAAGTATTTGGGCCAAACAGTTTTAAGAACCACTGTTCCTTTCCTAACCTGGTGCCTTTGTGGATTGGACTAAATCCATCCAGAATTAAGAGAAATATAGCTGATATAACTGGAGTTGGAGAAAATCTGGGGTGAATATTAGGATTAGCCAGAATATGTAGGCTAAAGTCAAAGAGGGGCAAATGCAATCCAGATGTGGGAACAACTCGCCAATTGATCTGTCTTCTAAGCCAAACGGGGACCAAACATGTTTGGTCCATTTCTTGAATCCCTTTAGTGGACCAGGCAGACTTCCTTTGAAAGATTAAAAGAGATCAAAATGAGCATACTTTTTAATGACTAATTTACTAATAAGCTAATACAATCAACAGATTTCGAAGACAGGATTCCCAGATTTGTTTAAACGCCAAATGCCAACAGTCCTGATTGTACCAATAGAAGAGAATATTTGTAGCTCAGGATGGAACTGTGGGCTCCTTGGTGCTCTCTGAGCTTGGTTGTTTTCTTGCAGACATTTTGTGACCAAATGAGGTAACATCAACTAACGCTGATTACCTACTTTAGATTACCTAGGTCAGGGGTAGGCAACCTCAGCTCTTTTATGATTCATGGACTTCAACTCCCAGAATTCCTGAGCCAGCCATGCTGAGGGGAAAGGGAGAGGTTTCCAAGCTGAGCCATGCTGGCTCAGGAATTCTGGGAGTTGACGTCCACGAGTCATAAAAGAGCCAAGGTTGCCTACCCCTGACCTCCTAAGCCAGTGGTTCTCAACCTTTTTAATGCCACGACCCCAACCGGTCGTAAGTCGAGGACTAAACCAGTCGTAAGTCGAGGACTAAACCGGTCGTAAGTCGAGGACTACCCAACCGGTCATAAGTCGAGGACTTCCCCTGCCCGGGAGCATGCGTGGTTCCGCCCCCTGTGCCGGCCGAGGCGTAGCTGGCAAGCGGCAGAGACGGAGCAGGCCGACCACCAGCTGGCCCAGCCCAAGGGAGGTAAGGCACCCGCCGGAAAAGGGGGAAAAAATGGCGGACAAAAAAAATGGCAGACAAAAAAAATGGCGGACAGCCTTGCTTGGCGACCCCCATGAAATGGTCGATCGACCCCAAATGGGGTCCCGAC